TGCCAGGACATTGATTTCCATAAACCTGTCCTCAAATGGACTAGAACATATTGTATATAAGCAGTTCCACCAAACTACTGAAGCACCTTCACCCAAGAGAAAGCCATCTATTCACATTATCATCTCTTTTTCTCTGTCCCAGCATGGATACTATTTATTGGGAAACTTGATGAATATTCTAGCTGATGGTCATTTACAAATTCCCTCCCCCTAAATAATCTTTGCCATTTTGTAGGTTCTGCTCCGAAAGGGCAATGCTCTTCAGGCAAAAGTTGTTTGATATGTTCCTCTTTTAGCCATCTCCATTTTGCTGCCTGCAGCTTCTAACTGGAAAAGTTCAAACAAGGAGGAATTTAATAATTAAGGACATGACACAGTCCTTTTCTTGTTTCCTCATTGTCCATTTCTTGCCTACCCTCGGGGAAGTTGCAAAAAGAAAAGAGGAAAATTAGGCTTTGCTTTGTTCCCGGTTCTCAACCCTCCTCCTGGTCTATTTTAGGTGAAGTGACACTGTGAATATGCCTCTTCTAACCTTTTCTGTAATGATTAAAGAATATTTTTTAGCACTGGGAAGATGCTTGTCTGAATCTTTTAAATGACAAATAAAAGAGGTCCTTGATCCTTCAGAATGATTACAGGGACAATTGGGGCGCAAACTGTGTCTCCAAAAAGATGAAAATCCATTCTGATGAAGCTGAGGATGAAGCTCTGAATCTTGTACTGTAATGCAGTTCAACCTGTTAAGAAGAAAACCAGATCATCACATAGTATTTGCATTTCTAACTTAAACTACCTATATTTTCAGGAAGCACAAGTAAGAAAAAGTACATTACAGAACTGCCTGGAAGTATTGGGGCTGACCATAGGTAATTCCCAAACACACTGCTTTGCTGATGGTGTCTTAGACGGCTCCCTCTTTAGCAATTTCAAGGAAGTCAGAAATAGCATACAATCAAATAAAAGGAAGAAAGCGTTTTTCTTTTTTAAAAAAGAAGGAAACATTAACACTCCACATATGAATATATTTATGCAATAGTGCTGGATCATTAACAAGAATATTGCTTATGACCCATAGTGTATAAATGTGAAATAGTATTCTTACGTTTCTGACCTTTTTTCTATTTTTTCTTTTTATTTATCTATAAAAATGTGTGGTGCTTCAATCTTGTGTACAGATAATCATGTATTTAGTGATTAAACATGTATCACTATTTAATGGAGGAGTGTCGATAGCTTCTCATGTTCTGACAAAGTTGGGGGTAGCAACATACTACTCATTTTGTCCCATCATGAAGTATTTCCTCTCTACAAGTGAATAAAATGTCCTATCTCCATTCACTTGCAAAGAAAGTGGAATCACACTCTCACCAACAACACCAAAGACACAATTACATTAAAGATTTACGGTAGGAAGTAAGCTTTACTCCCACCTGTCTATTGTTTCCCTTAATGAAAATGAATAGAATATTGACTGCTTTTTTCATTTGCACTAGGAAAAGAAGGTTCCTCCATCTACCCACATGGCTTATCTGGGTATTCTTTGTACCTCCATTTGGAAATCTGTACTGTTGTCTTGGTCATCCATGGCCCAAATGTGTGTCATCCATCACTATTCCTTCTGATTTCCAGGCTGGGTTTCTGAACTTAACCTGGAATCCAGTAAATTGAGATTTGTAACACATCATGATCCCTGTTCAGGGCACAGATAACATGCAGTTGTGTTTGTTTGTTTATTTATTTATCGTATTTAGATAGCCACCCATCTCACAGACTGTGACTCTGGGTGGCTTACAATAAAAAACTATCCCAATTGGATTCCTACAATATATTCTGCATGGGGCTGCCCTTCAAAGTGACCTAGAAGGTTCAAGGAATGCATAATGCACTAACACAGAATATCATTTTTTCCCATTATGACAGAATTACACTGACATCTTTTCAGTTACTCAATTCACCCTTTCTGAGTCAAAGTCAAGAGTACAAAAGCTGTGGCCCACTGCATATCACTTAACTACAACTCCCAATATTCTTAAAATCATGCTGGATTGGGCTGCTGGGGACTGTAATTCAGCCATATCCTGAGGACCTCAGATTCTATTCTCCTATTAAAAGCAAGCTGGAATGAAATTATGTGTCCAAATCTATGTTTCTGTGAATACTGTGAAAGTAACATGTAGGAGAATAGCGTTCCTGGGCCCTAGCTAAGTATTTTGTTATGTTCATCCCCGTTACCATCATGGCCCCCATTTGGAGTGCTTCAGTTCAGGTGGTTACCCAAGCAATTCCACTCTATTCCTACCATTTATGCACATGTACTATAGTCTATAGAACTATTGTCCTTTTATCACTTGTCATTTTTTTCCTCCATTTTAGAATCATGGGTGAGATAGACACATTTATGTCCAAGGTCAGTTGCCTCAAACAGCTCTATTTTTGGACTGATGTATGTGGGCTGCATTCATTTTCTCTCTGAGGAAGGAAAGTTCTCCAACAAATCCTGCAGACTACCTCTTGTGGATGTTGTACTGTCTGAGCCTGCAGCTCCTCCAAATGTTACAGAAATTAGATTTTGGTTAAACATAATGGGAACATTTCAGAAGCAAGAATTATCTGCAATGTGGAAGGAGGCAATTAGAAGCATTTAAACAGAGGACGGACAGCCATCTATCACCAAGGACGCTATAGCAGCTTCCTGCATGGAATTGGCAACTGGTACTAGACAACTCTAGAATCCCTTTCAATGTTATATTTCTGGGTATTTGTTTATGCAATGAATTGTGCTTGTTCTCCAACAATGCCTGTTCCCAGTGAGTTTGTGCTATCAGGCTACAGTGCATCTCAGCATTTATTTATTTGTTTTGCAGCCTTTCTAGGCTGTCCCAGTTTACACAGATTCTGGGTGGCAAACAAGAAAACAACAACCCAATTAAAACAACTAATACAGTAAAGCTCCTGCTGGGGGGAATGCGGGGGAGACACGTCATGGCAACTCTATTCAGCTTGGGCCAAAGGCCCAATTAAAAAAAACCCTTTTAAAATGTTTATAAAAAAGGGGGGGGGGGGGGGGAAGAGTTCTCTAAAGCGGGGAATATACTACTGAGAAGGCCTACCACCTCTTCCATAGCCCACAGGCCTCGGTAGGTAGGAGAACAACTCCAGCAGGCGTTCTCACAATAATAGAACCATGCAGGCAAATTCTATTGTGGTGAGACGTTACCTGATGTTCTGGTTTTCAAAATTACTTAGAGTAATGAGATGCTGGGATTACACACCCTAGGCTAAAGGACTTGAGTATGGATCTCTATATTATACTATAGTCTTTGAAACTGGACTAGAAAGTTGGGAAAAAAACAACATGCTGTATCAAAACTATCCTTGTCCAAAACACACATAAATTGTGCATTCCAAAGAACATTCCTGAACAATTTGATAGCTTCTTTGACAGTGTAGTGTTCTGTCTTCTTTGCCATTTCCCTGAGTGGTTATGAAATCAGTTTGCAGACTCCAAACAAAAGGAAGCAAAAATTGGAAACAGCACCTTGTCTCATCGTGTGATTTACATACCCTGAAACATTTAGATCAGGCATCAGTTGTAGGTGAGGTCTTGGAGTTTTCTATTATGATTAAGAGAGCTGGTACAGTGGTTTTTGAGTGTCATCCTAAGACTGGAAAGACCTAAGTTTGAATTGACCCATTAGGCTTCTGTGCAACATGTCCCAGTAACTATCTAGCTGCCTAACACAGAGGTTTCTAAACTATGGCTTGGGACACCAGGAGGAAGGGGGCTTGCAAGCAACTTGCGGGGGGGGGGGGTGTCTGCAGTTATTTTTTAAACCTGTTCAGGTTTGCACAGGCAAAGTGACTATGAAAACTCTCTCTGGGCCTTGTTCCTCACTTGATCTGTACAAGCTGAGAATATATGGATTAAAATGTAATTATTAAAAGTAAATGATATATTTATTTCTTGCCCAATTCTAATTCCAGATAAATTTTTAATTTTATTGATGGCGCAAAAGGGGGATTGCCCACATTCTTTTATGATTTTAGGAGGTGGTTGCACTGCAGCCTCTGACCTATCCAATCTCACAAGGTATTTACATAAATAAAATGGATGAGAGGAGATTTGTGTACCTTATTCTGAAGTCCTGGATTGTGAGACTCAGCAGAAAGGGTGAGATAAAAATGGAATGGATAAATGAATGAGTAGAATAATATTCCTAACAGGAAGTTATGCCTTCCTAAATGCTAGAGAAAGAGAAGGACATATGGCAGAACATTGTCTGCTACTTGAATTACTGATAGAGAACCAAGAACACCCAAAAGTAAACAAAAGAACAAGGCTGCAGATTCCAGTATCAGAGCAAAACGATTTATTGAAATAGATTCCCAGAAATATGAACACAAATGTTTACTCAGACCTTTGCTTTGGCTGTGGAGTTCCTTGAATGTGACTGAATTTATTTCTGTTTTCTGATATGATCAAGCATTTTTAAATCAAACAGAACCATCTTCAGATGGACTTGAACTGATCATGATCATCACCTACATAATGCTTTGGCGTTCTCAAGGTTTCAGATAATCCTTACATTACAACCAGCAACCTTCTAAGGGACGTACTGTATTTATTATTATAAAGTTTTACAGAAGTTACTGACAATTTTAGGTGGCTTCAAGGCCATCTCAGGATTTTATGACAAAGTCGACATTAAAACAAGGGACTTCTCAATTTGTGCCTCATTTTTTTAGTTTTCCTTCGGCTTGCTTTTACCTCATACGTTTTTTAAGTTTTAGAACGACTATAAAATCCTGCCAAACCTGTTGAAGCCGAGGCAGAAAAGGAACGTTGCTTGCTAAAGATGGAAATGTCCCGCAGTAGACAGCAAGAGAATTAGGAAGACTACAGGTTAAAAAAAAAAGAAAAAGCTAGTGCTTATCTAAAAACCAAGGCCCCTCCCCTTTGCATGTGAGCTGAATGTGCTGTTTCCTTTTCCAGTGGTAAATGGTCAAGAACCATGCTGGAAGCATCTGAACAAGCAAGGCTTTCTCCTGTTTGCTTCCCCAGCTTTTTTTGCTGCTTTGCTTCATTCATCTTTGGACGTGGATAGGAACGCAGACTGTCAGTGCAAAAGAACGGGGGGGGGGCGCATTTCTGAATGCTTAAAGGATGACTCTCCTTAACAGTACAACATCTGCTCCGCGTGAGTACTCAAAACCCCTCCTTTGTGCATAATGACAAACGTGCAGCTCTTACGCTTTAGGTGAAGGGTTTAAAAAAGAAGAAGAAGGGGGGGGGGGAAGTCTCTCTTGCTCGCTCGCTCTCTTCGAAAAAAGTTACTTTCTGAAGTATGTTCTGGAAACTTCACTCCTCTCTTCCCTGCATTTATGAAAGTTGGTGGGTGTGAGAAACAAGCAGAAAAGACGAAAGTTGTTATGCATGTGTGCCCGGGACAAGGCAGGACTCCAGCCACAACACTTGTTTGCAAAGATCAAATGGAGTTAAATGTTTTAAACGGCGTAGCTGAAAGTGTGATAGAAAGAGGAGCTGAAATGAACAATTAAGCGGTTGCTTTTCTATTCCGCCAAAACCAGAGAAATGCAGTTGTTTAATGCATTGCATTTATTTCTCTTTGCCCTCTTTGGGGTGTTACTACCTTGCTCAAATACAGACAGGGAACTGTCTCTCTGTAACATGAGAGCCCAGCCCCAAACTGCCGGTCTATATTTAGCCACAATGCATTTTTGTTTTCCAAACCTTGCTCGAACTGGTGTGCAGCCGCTGAATGACAGCAAAGCGAGGGGGAGAGGGGTTGGGAGCGCTTCCTGTTTCCAGAATGTCCTGCTTTGCTGAAAAGTCCAGGGAGATTCAGGTGGGCGGTTAATGAGCACAACACTCGAGCCCAAACGAGACCCTGAGAACCCAGAAGTAGCTGTGAGGCAGGGATCATGTTGCCAGCCGGGGAAGGATGGGGATTATCTGGAACTCGTTTCATAACGTTCAAGTACAGTTAGTATTTTTACCCGTTTTGTTAATATCAGGGTATGTCTCTCTGCGGTACAGAAGTACCGTATACCAAAATTAGGCCCTGCCTCACACTTTAACAGAAAAAAAAACACACAGCGGAAGGGCAGATCCTGCACAATGAAGACTGTCAATATCTCTTGTTCCTGTCACATGTTTGGTATAAATTGCGCCCACAGGGTTGGTTGGTTGGTTAGTTAGTGTTTTTTTAATTTTATTTATATATATATATATATA